AAGGAGAATTCCAATATAACAAATGATAAGGCAGAGCTTTTTATTCCTTTTTCTTCTTTTTGAACCCCGCCAGAGCACCATCTATGAGAGCTCCTCCTCTATTTATAGGAGGGATATGACTTAAATTACAAGCTGACCACCTCGGCTCGGAGCCGAGCTGTTTGGGTCACATCAGATTTTTCAGACGATGGGCAGTCGGGGTTTACCCACGTCCTCCGCTCATGATGACTTTCTTACATTTCCACTAGGGGCGGGCTTGGACAGAGTAGCCTCCTGCACAGGCGGCGACAGTCCCATCTAGTGAGGTGGTGGTCCAGGCAGTTTACATCTAGCTTCCGAAGGGACGTGGGCGTGTTTCATGAGGTGTGACGGGTCAGTGGTCAAGAGAGGTCTTGTCATTGACGTGGTTGGCTTACATCCATTCGTTCTTCCTTAGACATCTCGGAGGCCGAGGGAGTTTTGTTTGTTTCTTCTGGAGCGTTAGTACGAGTGCCATGTGTCGTGTTTTTATTGGGCAGACCAGCTCGGTACGTGCCGAGCGTCAACAAGTCCTCCAACTATCTAGGCAAGTTTCCTTGGGTGAGGAGTTGTTCACTGTCCGTGTCTGCCTAATAAAAATGGACCTCTGATGGATCGCTCGGCTATCTGTCGATCTGTTCTGGAGCCGAGCGATTGGGTATTCTTCTAACCGGTCTGACTGGTCGGTCTTACCGAGTTGTCTCGGACTCTAGTCCACCAACTCCCCAGAATAAGGGTATCTTGCCTCGGGCAGGTGAAATGTTCGAACAGGTGTCAAGTACTCGGAAGGTGTGCCATTTATTGCGGGTGTCATGATGGAGCGCCTAAGAAAACGGAACGTGTGGGACGTCTGGGTTCTCGTCGATTGATGGAACCGAAAGGGGTTGCCACGTGTCGTGATCTTGAGAGAGAGGTCAGACAGAGTGGACGATATGGATGCTTACGCCTGGTCCTATATATATAGGATGAGTTAGAGAATCTCTCAATTTTCGCCAGTTTTGAGTGAGTTTGAAACTTTGCTGGTTGTTGTGTGTACGTTTTGGAGAATCGGAGTTGGTTTGTGTGAGGAGGAAGAAAACACAGGGGGGTGGGGGCGTGAGCTTGTGAAGAGATCGTTGTAACCAGGTGAGAGTCTTCTGCACGTGTTTTTCGTTTTCTGTTTTAGTCTCGTTGTGAGAGAGGTGGAAAGGATCCCGAGAATGGCGTTTGTAGAGGGAGGGACAGTGGGTCCAGTATGGGGTTTGTTGATTTCGGGGATTTAGACGAGGCCTGGCATCGGCTAGGTGATAGGCCACCTGCGAGTGTAGTGGTAGGTATTGGGGCGGAGCCCTCGGTGGTAGAGGTGCCGAGCTCGTCTGAAGAGTTGGAGGGAGAGGCTAAGGTAGAGCGAGCACCGGTAGAGGGGAGGGTCGGCATCAGAAGAGCGGCCTTTCTGCTTATGTAAACTGCGCCTTACGAGGGTGCTTGTTTTCGGATAACATCCTCGGGGTCTGGGCCGAGTCCAGTGCTGCTAGTTCAAGGGGTGTGAGTTAACGCTGACTCCTCACCGAATAGGCACCTTTCCACCAGCCTGGTACGACTTGAGTCTCGGATAGCCCTTTTTTGGGGCTTTCACAGGTTTTCCTGGAGGCCGATCTGCTGTTCTTTCAGGCGTTCGTTTCGGCCCTAGAGGGTCTTGTTCAGGTCTTGCATAGCATCGGCTCCGCTTAGGAGTTGCTCAACTTTGGCTTCGAGGGTGCTAATTCTTTGTTTTTTGGCTCTTCGGTGCTTTGTGTTTTTCTGATCAGGAGTGCCAAGGGTAGAGATCCCCTTCATCCTTCGGCCCAACATTTTGGCAGTGGAATAGCTAATACGTGACCTTTGAGTGTGGATTCCCACAGACGGTGCCAAATGTTTAATCCACTAATATTCAAGTGGTTAACGTGATGAGATATGATAATATTTTGAAGACTGAAAGAAGGGATTCTACGAATGAGAATTCCAATATAACAAATGATAAGGCATAACTTTTTATTCCTTTTTCTTCTTCTTGAACCCCGCCAGAGCCCTTTCTTTGAGAGCTCTTCCTCTATTTATAGGAGGGATATGACTTAAATTACAAGCTGACCACCTCAGCTCGGAGCCGAGCTATTTGGGTCACATCAGATTTGTTAGATGATGGGCGGTCAGGGTTTACCCACATCCTCCGCTCATGATGACTTTCTTACATTTCCACTAGGGGGGCAGGCCTGGACAGAGTAGTCTCCTGCACAGGCGGCAGTAGTCCCATATGGTGAGGTGGTGGTCCGGGCGGTTTACATCTGGCTTCCGAAGGGACGTGGGTGTGTTTCACGAGGTGCGACAGGTCGGTGGTTAGGAGGGGTCTTGTCATCGACGTGGTTGGCTTGCATCCATTCGTTCTTCCCTAGACAGCTCGGAGGCCAAGGTTGAGGGAGTTTTGTTTGTTTCTTCTGGAGCGTTAGTACGTGTGCCATGTGTCATGTTTTTATTGGGTAGACCACCTTAGTACGTGCCGAGTGTCAACAACTTTGTCACTTTGTTGCTCTTCCATGAGCTAAGAGTCAAGCCAAACCACAAACCTTAGTAGGAGCACTAGATTTCCAAATCATTTTAGCAGTCTGGAATAAGAAATTTCATATCACACAAAATAAAAATAAAACGTCTTAAAGAGAAAACCCCTGATGAACCCAGTTCCCACTTCCTCCTATCTGACCTTTGTGTTGAGAACTGAAAATTCTCCGAAACTGTCAATAATGCTGCATCTTCCACTTGATCTGCCCAACCCTTTGCTTAATCAGCCACCATATAATTTTCAACATAAAGGTAATTTCCAGAGTTAGAGCTAGAAAATAAACTCTTCTACCATTGTATTTACATATAACACCATCATTTTATATGTTAGGAGACGACATTGAGATTTTGAAATATACACAACAAGTTAATGAGGTAACTCCAGTAAGTTCTCTGTAGGAGTGGTTTGTCAGGAAATCGACAAGGTATGCATCTAAGGAATACTATGCCAACCAATAAAGAATATAAGATAATGAAAGAGTACAAATATATTACATACAAGTGTTTTCTTGTGTGTAGCTGTTATCCTCTTGGACTTGCAACCTAAGCACACAGAACAGAATTTTCAGCTCCAATCTGCATAGTGACACAGAAATGGAATGAAAGGTTCCAAATTAATTTTTCTAGATGACAAAACATAAGCTTTACGAAGATAGAGATCCACTTGCCTTATTTGCCACAATCCAGTTTGGCATTGTTGTGCTGTGAAAATAATTGCTGTCAAATTTGCTGTGAGAGAAATCAGCTGTTGGAGAAAGCAGTTTGGCGTTTGGTAAACTTTTTGTTAAAAGTGTTGTTGGTATTGATTTCCTCATAATCAGAAAATGATTGCGGCATAATCATTAAACCCAACGCCTCTTCAAAACTTATTCCTGCATGATCAGAAAATGAAAGCACCTCATTAGCTGCTTTCCCTTATAGCTTTCTCTCACAGCAATTTTAACAATAAGTGATTTTCTCGCAGTTTACCAAACGAGCTGGACTTCCCAAATTTTTTTAAAAATCACTTATAACCCTAAATAAGCAATGCCAAACGGGTACTAAGTATGCTCCAATGAGATTAATGAAAAGCAATGATAACATACCGTCTTCTACATGCAGATATGAAGCTCTAGTTGTGCGACAAATCAATTGAAAATACTTGAAACAGAAGGTGATATGATGGCAATACAGCGACAATACAGGGGAAATACAACGGCAATACACGGGAAATACAGCAGCAATACCAGGGCAATAGGGAGGATATACAATGGCAATACAAAAACTCCATACTCCCACTATAAATACATTCTAACAGACTTGAAAAAAACTGTAATGTATAACGTGGTTGAGATAGATACATAACATATCCACACTAGGGGGCCTTCTCCAATGCGAACTCTAAGATGCGAACTCGTTGCGAACTTTTGTTTTTAACCGTTGGATGGCTTGTGTGGCTTTATTTTCTTTCTTTTCGCTCTTCTTCCAACGGTTGAAAACAAAAGTTCGCAACGAGTTCGCATCTTAGAGTTCGCATTGGAGAAGCCCCCTCCACACTAGTTTCAAAACAATACATCTCAAAACTCCCCAAATTGAAATTTTTTGAACTAATTACTCAAATAGACATTGGAAAGTTACAAATTGAATGAGCAAAAGCTACTTGTTTAGGTGATTGCGTCTTTCCCCTAAGTTAAACTAAGCTAGACAATTCCAGCACTGACCAACTTCTGGATCTTGTTAACCATATGCCTTATCTTTTACTCACTAGAATATCCATTGTGCCACTGCCCAGGCTCTTCATCCAGTTGATCATCAAGTTCAGTCTAGTTCTAAACACCATGCCGGATAATTTGATTCATGAGACACACTAATGTAGACAACAATAAATAAGTTCAGAAGCATAATAACAGAGAGAAACTAATAGAAGTGGCTCTAAGTAAACCTCAGCACAAAACATTTTTCTCTTATTTCTTACAATCTAATTTCACAAGCATGACTGGTATATATCAATTTTCAGGACATATATCACTCTTTAAGAGTGATGGTGAGCACAGAGGGGCAGTCCACAGAGGAGCAAGGGAGGGCCGGACGCACGTTGGGACAAGAGGAGTTGCACGACCCCTTGGAATGCTGGAAATTTGGCTAGGGACTCCATGAACGACCCCTTGGACAGCTGCTGGACGACCCCTTGTATGCACACCAAGTGCTCGACGAAAGTCCCAGCCCATTTGCTTCCTTTGCTGTGCAGCTGTGCTGCGTGTCTCGCGCGCGCTGCGCATCATTTTTTGTTAAAACAAGCCTTGCCAAACGACGTCGTTTGGTCCAAGGCTCAGTCAATTTTTTTTAATTGACCTGGCCTCAAAAACGACGTCGTTTTGGGCCACGTTTTTTGAAAAAAAAAAAAAAAAATCAGCATTTACCCACCCGACTCTGCACAACGCCTCCAAACCCTTTTCATTCCCAATTTCACATCTCTTCCCACCCTCTCAAACCCTAACCTCCCAACCTCCCAATATTGAATATCGTTTGATAATGTGGCAGCGGGTGGCGTATAATGCAACGCCTACACACCCACTCGCTCTCTCATTTTTGTCTCCGTCCTCTCACCTCTGCTTTAAGCACGGTCAGAGAGTGAGGACCGGAACCAATCTCTGAATCTGGGGTTAGGGTTATCCCTAATCCGAATACCAGTAATCCCAATTCGATTCTCGAAGCAGAGAGAAGCAAGATGGGCGTCAATTCTGTATCCTCGGATGCGAGCAGTGATCTGAACGAGCAGATCGAGCAACTTATGCAGTGCAAGCCACTCTCGGAACCACAGGTACTGTACATTCTTCATTTCTTGAATTCCTTTCGTTTATACGGATGATTGATTGGTGTTTGATTGGGAAATTTAGGGATTAGGGTTGGGTTGGTTTTGGGTTGCTTGGAAAATATAGGAAAGAAATGGATTCATGGGATTTTTTTAATTTTCTGTTGGATTTGTGCGGATTTCTAATTCTGATTGAATTTGAGTTGGTATGTTTGTATATAAAGAAAAGTTTTCTTTTTCTTGTTTGTGTTTTTGTCGTAATGTAATTCAGATTCTGTTTTTTGTGATTTTAAATCAAATTCTTTACTTTTTCTTAAATTTTTGTGCTTTGATTTATTTACAAATTATTGGGACAAGTAGAGATAACTTTTGAGCTCTATTTAGTAGTGATGCAGAAAAAAAGAGCTTTTAAACAAGGGCATTAGTAACAGAGCTGCAACTCCAATACATTGGACAATTCAAACGAAATATGTTTTTCTTTATTACATAATTTTAGCTCATTCAATTTTATAATTTGTTTTTATCTTGCGTTTAATTTGAGGTTATTCCGCGTCGTCCTCCCAAAATGACACAAGCACAGTGAAGCAGATCGGTAGAGTTCTCCCGTTCCTCATCCATACCACATGAAGAGTAATATTTAGGGTCCTTAGCATATAGCATGAATCACTAACGCCTAAATTTTAGGGTAAAAACAAACCTCCAACCTAGGTGGTTGCTATCAAAAGGGTGCCTTACTAGATAGAACCTATACTCCAGTTTAACTCTTGTCACCATGAATAACGAGCTATGACTCAGTAGGCCATGCAATGTCCTGTTATAATTCAAATATGATATTATACAACCAACCATAGTATTAATGACAATGCAATGATATAAAAATATACTTCTCATATTTCAAAACTCATAAGAAGAAGTCCAACTCCTTTGGAAAGTTGTTCCCATGAATTTTGTACCACAAGTTTGTGAACATTTTATCATCTCCCAAAATGACACAAACAGAGTGTGTCAGATCAGGACATCCCAATAGAGTTCTCCCGTTCCTCATCCATACCCCATGAATAGTAATATTTAGGTGATCTTTTTTATAAAACCTCAAAACATGGAGCATGACACTAATAATATCGCTGCAATATTAAAAAATGAATACGAATAAATAAAAATGAAAAACAACATACTTTAGTAAAATAAATGAATACGGATAAAAAGAATTGCAAATTATTATATATGTATATCGTACGCAGCTTCGGGACGATGTATTAGTTATCTGGATTCATCAACTCATATGTATTATTTACCCAATATCCGAGGTAGCAATCTACTGACTCGGAAAAGACAAACGTGCTCTTATTGGGAAACCTTTGGATGAGATTAACGGGCATCACGTAACGGGAGTCACATAGCGACAATAACAAATACCATTCCCGTTAAGTGCTGCCTGTTAATATCATCCAAAGGTTTCATGATAGGAGCACACTTGTCTTTTTCGAGTCAGTAGACTGCTGCCTCGGATATTGGGTAGATAATACATATGAGTTGATGGATCCAGATAACTAATACATCGTCCCGGAGCTGTGTATGATATACAGGTATAATAGTTTGCAATTCTTTTTATCCGTATTCATTTATTTTACTGCAGTATGTTGTTTTTCATTTTTATTTATTCGTATTCATTTTTTAATGTTGTAGCAATATTATTAGTGCCATGCTCCATGTTTTGAGGTTTTATAAAAAAGATCACCTAAATATTACTCTTCATGGGGGTATGGATGAGGAACGGGACGACTCTATTGGGATGTCCCGGTCTGCCTCACTCTGCTTGTGTCATTTTGGGAGATGATAAGATGTTCGCGGACCTCTGTTACAAAATTCATGGGAACAACTTTCCAAAGAAGTTGGACTTCTTCTTATGGGTTTTGAAATATGAGAAGTATATTGTTACATTAATGCTATGGTTGGTTGTATAATCTCATATTTGAATTGTAACAGGACATTGCGTGGCCTACTGAGTCATAGCCTGCTATTCATGGTGCTAAGAGTTAAACTGAAGTATAGGTTTTATCAAGTGAGACGTCTTTTTGATAGCAACCACCTAAGTTGGAGGTTTGTTTTTACCCTAAAAGGCGTTGGTGGTTCTTGCTATTTGTTAAGGATCCTAGTTGCAATTGGTGGTTCTTGTCAGATAAGTTGAATGTAAAGCCAGAGGGAGGTCTTCAAGCTTTCCCACAGCCGAGCTAACAAGATTAGTTATAGAGCTATCATCAAATTCAATGTTGAATTGCCCCAGATCTTCTGCTGTGTTTCCATATATTACTCTCAGACTGCGGTAGCTGCCCTTTACAACCAGATGATTAGTTACAACAGACTATAGATGAGTAATGACTCCTGTGAGAATAGCCAACAGAACAAATAAACGGTGTGTGTCCGTGTACATATGCGCGCACGCACACACACATATATATAGAACTATTAGATAAGGAAGCGGTCCATCAACATCAACAACTAGGCTCACCTATTCCTAACTTGCTAAATTCTGATATAACGCAAGTGTAGAAACTTATCCTCCACAAAGAAGTATGTTATATATAAAAATTGGAAAGGAAATTAAGAAATGAGATAAGACAAGGTATTACTGAGCACTGACATCTAAACATAGATAGGGCTTTCTTAGATAGCTCCTCACTTGAGCTCTAAAATAGTCTAGGTGTAAGTGCATTAAAGCCTTCACCTTAAAATTGTTAAGGAGCAGAAATATGCAGAATCCAAGAGGAAACATAATCAGGTGTAATATGATAATTGCCTCTACTTCTAGCACATTTGATGAAGGAGAATAGAGAGGAAAGGCTGACAGAGGCGCCTGAACTTTGTCTCCCCCTCACATTGAACAAATACTTCCAAAGAAAATGAATATAAAAGGAAGGAATATCTCTAAATTCCGCAGCTAATGCCTGCAAAGAAGCCCAAATCCTCACTCTATGATCTCTTCCCCAATGTCGACACCTCTTAATCCATCTTTTCTTCAAAAAATCTAGCATCCCTTTCAAGCCAAACCACCCAAAGAGTTGTCAATACACAAAACTTCCCCAAAATAATGACCCAACTCATCTTCCCTCGTGAAAGATACTGTGCCACAATCTAAATGCAAACAAGCAATGGCGAAATAAATGGCCAAAATCCTCTGCTCCTAGTTTGCACATAATACACTATGAGAGTGAAAGACATATATTAGGCATCCTGCAGTCAACATTACCGTTAGTGTTGACTCTCCCATGAGTGATTTTTCAGTAGAATTGTGCCAATTTTGTCTTTAACTGAAAATGGGATAGAAGCCTCAAGAATAATTCACCAACTGACCCGGCTGTGGTATTTACCACTCCTAAAGAAAACTAACCAGATGGAGCTAAAGATGTGATATTTATTATAGGTAAACCTATTTGAATTGCGGTCTTTTTTAGGTAAACCTATTTGAATTAGGAGTTGGAGTTCTTGAATAGTTGATTTTAATTCTTTGAATTTAATTTTTGGGTGGCAAAAGCTCAAAACGACAAATAAACAAAAAGAAACTAGCCCAATGGGCTTTAACAAGTAGCTTAAATCAAATTTTAAGCTACTTGATTTGGGATGCAATTGATTTGTTTCTGCACCTCCTAATTTACTAATTTTCCCTCAGTTCCAGAAAAAAATTTGTGATTGAGTAAATAGCTAGAAACGATAATTTAGTGAATTAGTAAATTTACTAATTTGTGATTGACTGAATTGGAAAATGAAACAAATTTGTACAAGTTACATCATTCATGATAATTTAGTGACTTATTTCCGGTTATAATTAAAGTAATTAAAACAAGGCTAAGATAAATTGAAATAGTGAATAATTAGTATTTAAATATTTTATTAATTTCATAATTAATCTTTTAAATTATTTTATGGACTTTGTTTATTTATTTATTTATAGAAACTTGGTTTGTTTAGTTTAATATTTGCAATTAAATAATATCTTAGCCTTATTTAATTATATTAATTATTCTTTATGTTTTAATTATTATTTATTTAATGAATAATTAGTATTTAAGTATTTTAATTAATTTCATAAATTACTTAATAAATACTAATTATTTATATTTACTTATCTTTAATAATTATTTGGACTTTAAAATTATTTTTAATTTATGAATATATTTTAGTATTCCAAAAATGGACTAACCCAAGACTGAGTCTACGACTATTAAATATTAATTATTATGTATATATAATCAAAGGCCAATCAACAGGTGAGGCCAGTTCCACTCCACCTGGGTTCCATATAGCACGTGTGGGAAGACTCCCACTTATAAGGAGCAGAGACTTTCTTTTCTTTTCCAATGTGTGACTAAAGTTCATGTATTTCATTCAAACTCCAACAAGTAGTTGATATTATTTATTCACGTTTGACTTAGATTTAGGGTTTGGAGGCTAAAATCCATTTTTGGAATAATAAAGACTCGATTAAGCTCAGACATGTAAATAATAAAAGAAAAGCATATCCTAACAAAGAGGATCCGAATCCATAAAAAATTGCACTACATTAAAAGTTAATAATTATTTAAGTATATAAAAACAGTATAATAACAACACATTAAGGTAATGATTGACTAAATCCAATATTAAGAGTCGTTTAGATTTAAAATGAAAATAGTTATTAACAATTTGTTATTGTTAACTTCCTATTTTTACTAGAAATTTATTAAACTAAACGTCATTTTAAACCTTGTCCACAAAAACATTAAAAAAACCGAGCATAGCCGTGCGTCTATACTATTTTTTTTTAAATTTAGGAAAAACCGAGTATAGCCGATCGGCTATACTATTTATATATATTAAAAAGGCTTATTATCACAAAACATCCCTGACGTTTGCGAAATTATCACATTGCATCCCTAACGTTTTTTTGTATCATTAATGATCCCTAACGTTAATACAGGTACTCTTAAATAGTCCCTCTGTCAAAAAAACCGTTAAATCCAAGGGTATAATCGTCAAATCAATCCAAAACTATAATTTTTTTTCCTTCCCTT